CCGTTCTTACCAAGTAGTTACTCCCAGGCCTGAGCCTCCTGCTTAGGGTAGGCTTTCCATACTCAAGAGAACCTGCTTTTTCTTACTGACAAGTTTCTTTAAACCTCGTTTCTTCCCTGGAGTTTGTGGAGGACAGGTTTTGTGGTTTGTTTGTTTTTTGTTAAAATATCCTGAGAACAATATCTATAATTGTAACATTAGTGAAAGCTTCATGAGAGAGAACTCTTACCTCACTTCTAACTACATTCCTGCTGCCGAGAGCAGCCCAGTGCTGGAAGCTGGCAGATGCTCGGTATTCCATGAATAATCGTCCTCCTTGAGACACACCACAGAGACCATGCTTGTTTTACAAAACTGCTAATAGCAACCAGTAGCAGTGTGTATAGTTTTTCTTTTATTCGTTTTTATTGTTTGAAATTTCCTATATGCATATAATGTGCTTTGATCAAGTCTAAACCAAATCCCCGCCTTCCAGTTCTTCTCCTAGGATCATCTATATCACAGGAGCACTGCCTCATGCTTTCCTTCCATTTTAAAACTTTTGGGTGGGGCCAGGAAGCGCTTGATAGACAAGTGTTAGGACTTGAGTTTGATTCCCAACACTCATGTAAAAGCCACATGTGTATTTGTAATACCATCATTGAATATTAGGAGCCAGGGGGATCCCTGGAGTTCATTAGCCAGCCAGCCTGCCTAATTGGGGAGCCCAAGTCCCCATAAGAGACCATTCTGAAGTAAACCTCTGGTATATGTATACATGCTCACACACTCTCTCTCTCTTCCCTACCCTTCCCTCCATCCTTTCTTTTCTCCCTCTTTCCTTTCTCTCTCTCTAATACACACACACACACACACACACACACACACACACACACACACACACACACGAAGACATCCAAAACTTTCAGTGTTTTTGCATAAGCTGGACATTAGAAGAAACTTACCTTTTGCCAGAGAGTTACACACAATGGTTCAGAATTTTGACTGTGGAAAGAACAGCCTGGATCAAATCTAGACCCCTTTCTTGTATTGGTTATTTTTCTATTGCTGTGATACAACACTGTGACAAGGGCAATTCATGGGAGAGTATATTTGGGCTTACAGCTGCAGGATGTTTGAGTCTGTTGTAGCAGAGACTGCAAGGAAGCTGGAGAGCTCACATCTAGAAAAAGCACAAAGTAGAGAGAGCCAACTGGAAATGGCACAAGTCTTTAAACTCTCAAAGCTTGCCTCCAGCAAGGCCACACCTCCTAAACACCCTTCCCCCAAACAGAACCGCCAACATGTACCCATTCAAATACATGAGCCCATGGGGAAATTCACATTCAGAAAGCCACATTGTACTCCCTGGTGCCTATAGGTTTGGGGACATATCCTAAAGCAAAGTATCATAAAGCAATTTCTTGATTGTAACCTTTTATAAAATCAAAAAGCAAATTGTGTATTTCCAACATGTAATGGCACAGAACACATTGCCATTCCAAAAAGGAGAAGTGAGCATAGTGAGGAAATACTGGGAGAGGGGGGTCTTTCCCTGAGGTCACCCTTCCCTTTATTTCAATGCAGATCTGGCCTCTACTTACTGGTGCTTACTTCCTTATGGATTTCAGAACAAGTCTTCACTGAAACATTAGTTTTCTGGTGTTCTTTTTCTCTTTACATTGTATATTTTGTATTTCTTTCTTCTTCATTTGCTATTTTTCACTATAGACCTGCATAACAGTTATTAATAATAGCCATGCCACAGATATCAATATTATACTGCTTCCACCAAAGAAAGTAGTCCATTACTTTTTACTTTAGCCTCAGATGAATTCTTAGGACTACAGCAGAAAGAAGGCACATTCTCTGACCAAATATTACAGGAACAGTCTTTAGGCTAACTGTTAATAGTTTGTTCCCTTCTGAAACCTCTGGAGCTGGGCACCACAGTACTGGTATCTTCAAAGCTCCTACTGGGATGACCCTTTAAGCTGCGCTTACAGATTCAAACACATTTCTAGTACAAAGTTCCATACTCTTTTAATATTCCTCCAATAAACGATGTGCTCAAGTTGTGAACAATGACACCCCAATCCTGGTACTACATTCTATATTAGTTACTTTTCTGGTGCTGTGATATAACACTGTGACCAAGGCCACTTATAGAAGAAAGAATTTGGGGCTGGAAAGACAACTCAGAGCTTAGAGCACTGATTGCTCTTCTAGAGGACCTGAGTTCAATTCCCAGCAACCACATGGTGGCTCACAACCATCTATAATGAGATCTGGTACCCTATTCTGGCATGCAGGTATATATGCAGGCAGAATACTGTATACAGAATAAATAAAATCTTTTAAAAAGCTGGCGTTGGTGGCACATGCCTTTAATCCCATCACTCAGGAGGCAGAGGCAGGCAGATCTGTGAGGTCGAGATGAGCCTGGTCTACAACAGCCAGTTCCAGGACAGCCTCCAAAGCCACAAAGAAACCCTGTCTGGAAAAGCCAAAAAAAAAAAAAAATCTTTAAAAAAGAAGAAAGAGTTTGTTTGGACTTACAGATACAGAGTGTTAAGAGTCCATGATGTCAGGAAGGCCATGGTAGTAGGTGATAGTTATGGCAACTGGAGCAGCAAGTGGAGAGCTCACATCTTGAACAAGCCAAGCCAGAAAAGTACATTGGGAAATGGCATGAGTCTTTGAAGTCTCAAAGCCTACATTCATTGGTTTACTTCCCCCAATAAGGCCACACCTAATAAACATCCCGAAACAGCACCACCAATTGGGGACCAAGTGATCAAATACACTGTATATTTGATTTTTGAAATTTGAAATAGGAAAAATTCTCATACAAACCTTTACATTCCTTTGTGTGTCTGAGTTTACTCATCTGCATATGGAGACAATCAATAGTACCTATTTTATATGATTGTTTTGAATATTAAGTTAGTTTCTATAGGTGAAGTGTACTAGAGTATACCATTTTATGATATATGGGCTCAATAAAAATGGATAAGGGTGATGATGGTGGTGGGTTTGATTAGTAATGTCATCTAAATATATAGCTCAGTGGAAGAGTCCCTGCTTACCGTACTCAAAGCTCAGATTTTGATCCCCCACCACAATTAAAACAACAATAACAACAACAACAATAATAATAATAGGATTATTTGCAATTGGATCATTCCAGTTGATTAGATGATTTAGCATTACTTCCTCAATATGTTTGGAATAACTTCATGTCTTTTGTTATGTAAGATTTTCATATTAAGCAATTTTTCAAAAATAAGGCTTATTAAGAAATATAATAGCTGAGTGTGGTGGCTCACACCATTCATTGCAGC